TGGAACGGTTCATAATTCCCTCTACCTTGACTAAGGCCCCAGTTCCAGCTGAAGAAAGACAGCCCCAAAGCATGATGCTGCCACCCACCATGCTTCACGGTGGGTATGGTGTTCTTCTGGCAATGTGCAGTGTTGTTTTTGCGCCAAACATATCTTTTGGAATTATGGCCAAAAACCTCAACCTTGGTTTCATCAGACCAGAACATATTTTCCACATGCTTTTGGGAGACTTCAGATGTGTTTTTTGCAAAATTTAGCTGGGCTTGGATGTTTTTTCTTCATAACAAAAGGCTTCCGTCTGGCCACTCTACCCCATAGCCCAGACATATGAAGAATACGGGAGATTGTTGTCACATGGACCACACAGCCAGTACTTGCTAGATATTCCTGTAGCTCCTTTCATGTTGCTGTAGGTCTCTTGGCAGCCTCCCAGACCAGTTTACTTCTCGTCTTTTCATCATTTTGGAGGGACGTTCAGTTCTTGGTGATGTCACTGTCGGTGATGTCACTGTTCTGCCATATTTTCTCCACTTGATGATGACTGTCTTCACTGTGCTCCATGGTATATCTATTGCCTTGGGAATCCTATTGTACCCTTCTCCTGATTGATACCTTTTAACAATGAGATCCCTCTGATGCTTTGGCAGCTCTCTGCGGACCATGGCTTTTGCTGTAGGATGCGACTAAGAAATTGTCAGGAAAGTCCGACTAGAACAGTTGAACTTTATTTGGGGTTAATCGAGGCACTTTAAATGATGGCCGGTGTGTACTGACTCCTATGTAACATGATTTTGAATGTGATTGCTTAATTCTGAACACAGCTACATCCCCAGTTATAAGAGGGTGTGCACACTTATGCAACCACATTATTTTAGTTTTTTTATGTTTACTCCTCCAATAAAAGATTTCAGTTTGTTGTTCAACTGAGTTGTACAGCTTATAGGTCGCATTAAAGATGGAAAAAGTTCTGAAATGATTTCTCTTTGTCTCAATTTTTTTACATCACAGAAACCTGACATTTTTAACAGGGGTGTGTAGACTTTTCGTATCCACTGTATATGCAGAAAAGCATGCTTGTTATACTCACTGTGGAACTTAAGAGGTTAATACTCTGCGTTGTGTAAAAAGGCTGTTTGATCCTGTCTTCTCTGATCCTTCCCTTCATCTACTGTCCCCAATCCATCTCCTGATAGATCAGAGCCTTGGGGGCAATCTGCACATGCTCCGTTTAGTGTGTATTGCAAGAGATTTTTTTTTTCTTTTGCTTGGGAGGGTGAATGTGATCAGCACAGGGCCAATCAGCACTGTCCATACAGAGGGTCAGGGGTCCTGCAGCCTCATAGGACAGTCAAGGGAGAATAAAAACTCCTCCTACAAACTTTAACCAGTGCTCTGCTGGACACTGATAGAAGTCACAAGAATGCTCTAACTGCTGATGAGAAAAAGTATTTAACAGTTTATATTTACTAAAATAATTGCATTTCCATTTTGTGTGTACTGTGGGAGACCAGATATAGTGAATGCGGGGTCCGGGGAGACCGGATATAGTGAACGCGGGGTCCGGGGAGAGCGGATATAGTGAACGCGGGGTCCGGGGAGAGCGGATACAGTGAACGCGGGGTCCGGGGAGAGCGGATACAGTGAACGCGGGGTCCGGGGAGAGCGGATACAGTGAACGCGGGGTCCGGGGAGAGCGGATACAGTGAACGCGGGGTCCGGGGAGAGCGGATACAGTGAACGCGGGGTCCGGGAGAGCGGATACAGTGAACGCGGGGTCCGGGGAGAGCGGATACAGTGAACGCGGGGTCCGGGGAGACCGGATACAGTGAACGCGGGGTCCGGGGAGACCGGATACAGTGAACGCGGGGTCCGGGGAGAGCGGAAACAGTGAACGCGGGGTCCGGGGAGAGCGGATACAGTGAACGCGGGGTCCGGGGAGAGCGGATACAGTGAACGCGGGGTCCGGGGAGAGCGGATACAGTGAACGCGGGGTCCGGGGAGAGCGGATACAGTGAACGCGGGGTCCGGGGAGAGCGGATACAGTGAACGCGGGGTCCGGGGAGGCCGGATACAGTGAACGCGGGGGTCCGGGGGAGAGCGGATACAGTGAACGCGGGGTCCGGGGAGAGCGGATACAGTGAACGCGGGGTCCGGGGAGAGCGGATACAGTGAACGCGGGGTCCGGGGAGAGCGGATACAGTGAACGCGGGGTCCGGGGAGAGCGGATACAGTGAACGCGGGGTCCGGGGAGAGCGGATACAGTGAACGCGGGGTCCGGGGAGAGCGGATACAGTGAACGCGGGGTCCGGGGAGGCCGGGTACAGTGAACGCGGGGCCCGGGGAGGCCGGGTACAGTGAACGCGGGGCCCGGGGAGGCCGGGTACAGTGAACGCGGGGCCCGGGGAGGCCGGGTACAGTGAACGCGGGGCCCGGGGAGGCCGGATACAGTGAACGCGGGGCCCGGGGAGGCCGGATACAGTGAACGCGGGGCCCGGGGAGGCCGGATACAGTGAACGCGGGGCCCGGGGAGGCCGGATACAGTGAACGCGGGGCCCGGGGAGGCCGGATACAGTGAACGCGGGGCCCGGGGAGGCCGGATACAGTGAACGCGGGGCCCGGGGAGAGCGGATACAGTGAACGCGGGGCCCGGGGAGGCCGGATACAGTGAACGCGGGGCCCGGGGAGACCGGATACAGTGAACGCGGGGTCCGGGGAGAGCGGAAACAGTGAACGCGGGGTCCCGGGGAGAGCGGATACAGTGAACGCGGGGTCCGGGGAGAGCGGATACAGTGAACGCGGGGTCCGGGGAGAGCGGATACAGTGAACGCGGGGTCCGGGGAGAGCGGATACAGTGAACGCGGGGTCCGGGGAGAGCGGATACAGTGAACGCGGGGTCCGGGGAGAGCGGATACAGTGAACGCGGGGTCCGGGGAGAGCGGATACAGTGAACGCGGGGTCCGGGGAGAGCGGATACAGTGAACGCGGGGTCCGGGGAGAGCGGATACAGTGAACGCGGGGTCCGGGGAGAGCGGATACAGTGAACGCGGGGTCCGGGGAGAGCGGGTACAGTGAACGCGGGGTCCGGGGAGAGCGGGTACAGTGAACGCGGGGCCCGGGGAGGCCGGGTACAGTGAACGCGGGGCCCGGGGAGGCCGGGTACAGTGAACGCGGGGCCCGGGGAGGCCGGGTACAGTGAACGCGGGGCCCGGGGAGGCCGGGTACAGTGAACGCGGGGCCCGGGGAGGCCGGGTACAGTGAACGCGGGGCCCGGGGAGGCCGGGTACAGTGAACGCGGGGCCCGGGGAGGCCGGGTACAGTGAACGCGGGGCCCGGGGAGGCCGGGTACAGTGAACGCGGGGCCCGGGGAGGCCGGGTACAGTGAACGCGGGGCCCGGGGAGGCCGGATACAGTGAACGCGGGGCCCGGGGAGGCCGGATACAGTGAACGCGGGGCCCGGGGAGGCCGGATACAGTGAACGCGGGGCCCGGGGAGGCCGGATACAGTGAACGCGGGGCCCGGGGAGGCCGGATACAGTGAACGCGGGGCCCGGGGAGGCCGGATACAGTGAACGCGGGGCCCGGGGAGGCCGGATACAGTGAACGCGGGGCCCGGGGAGGCCGGATACAGTGAACGCGGGGCCCGGGGAGGCCGGATACAGTGAACGCGGGGCCCGGGGAGGCTGGATACACGGGCGTACTAATACAGGAGGTGTGTTACTGGCCAGATCACCAGGTGAAAACAGGGGGGGGGGGGGGAACCACAGGAAACTAATGCAGCCGCCACATCTAATGATTGGTAAACTGCAATATACATTTTTGGGATTAATGCATTTTATTCATGTTATTTCCTATAAAATCCTCTCTTGTGTAGTCATCTAGAAGCCCAGACTGCTGCTGGGTGCCGCCATCTTGGATGTGATGTCAGCAGACTCGGAGCTGTCACTCGAGTGACCCTCTATAGCAGGGTAGGCAATCTTGGCACCCTGGCTGTTGTGGAACTTCAGCGTACACCCATGTGAGGGACATATTTGCCCACATAGGTGTTCTGTACATCCCCGTGTGATCAAACCCATTGTCCCCCCTCCCCAGCAGCTACACGCAAGGTTCTGTGCATCCCCGTTCGGTTCAATACGACTGCATGGACACAGCCGCTTTTCCCAATCTGACAGTCATATGGCTGCATGGCCCAAACACAGACAATGTGCATTTGGGGGTCGTGTCACACTGGGAGCAGCAATCCAATAGACATCAAAGAGACTGCCTGTATGTGCTGGCCCAGCTCCTCCAGCTTTCACATAACCTTGGTTGTAGCTGCTGGTGGAGGCATGAAGAGGAATACTCGGCACTCCAGTGGTGGGGGGAAACTACAAGTCCCATCATCCCTCTTGTTACCTGTTAGGTGTCATTCACACAGGCGTACTACTGTGTGTGCCCCCCCCCCTGGGCCAGGTTTGTGCACATGGGGGTGCACAAGTGTTCTGTACATCCCCGTGTGGTCACAGACATTGTCCCTCCCCCTGCAGCTACAAGCAAGGATATGTAGGAAGGGGTGTAGGAGCTGGGCCAGCACAGATTGCAATTAGACACTCCCAGAAGAGGAGAGGGCCTTGCACTTTTTTTTAGCAATTTCAGAGGCATATTACAAGAGAATAAAAAGTAATTTATGAAAAGGAGAAAAACTGCAACAGCATTTCAGATGGTTATGATAGGCGATGGCTTCATTGATGAATGGGGTCTCCTCCCCTCCCCCAGGTTCGCCTCTATAATATCACCTGACACACTGCAGGGCCATTCCCAGGCCGTTGCCCCTAGCAACCGATAAAAACTACAGGCTCTGGCCTGGTTGCTACGGGCAACAAAACCCTCCATTCCAAATGACCCCTGCGGGTGAGTCAGGCGGAGGCAGCACCTGTCGGAGGTGACATTGACACTCCCCACACCCTGCTGAGCGGGCTCATAATGTCCCCGGCGTGTCCCCCCCCCCGACTACCCCGGGCTCACCCTCCCCCAGGAGGAGGATCCTCACGTCCCGCTTCATGGCTCCGGCGCCGCCAACACCACCGACTTCCGGGTGCCCAGGCGGACCGCCAGTGACAGAGCCCCACCACTTCCGGCGTCCCTCTCCACCAGCCTTACGTCACATCCGCCCCCCAGCGCTTAGCTTCTGCTTGCTATAGCAACGGAGGGGGTAGGCGGGGCCGCTACCTGCCTGGGAGCACGTAAACGAGGATGGGCGGTGACCTGTCATACGACGTGCGCTGGTCCGCTTTGGTTCGCCTTCTCCACGTGCTGAAAAAGCAGAGAGACTGTTGCCTATAGCAACCGATCAGCGCACAGCTGTGGCTAACATCCAGGGATGTGATTGGTTGTCATGGGCAACTCGCTTATCATATACATACAACAGTGACATCCAGGGCTGGGGATAAGGGGGTAACACCAGAGGCGGACTGACAACTCATGGGGCTCCCGGGCAATAAGGGATCATGGGGCCCCTGTGTCCTTGCCCACACTCAAAACACACCTATAAAGGCCTGTAAAAGGTACCAGGGGCATTTCATGGGGCCCCCTACTGACCCCGGGCCCTCGGGCAGTGCTCGGTCAGTCCACCACTGGGTACCACCAGTCCTCCTGTAGGGGGCCCAGGACAGAAGGGGGGCCCAGGTAGCAGGTGAATCGGATGTGGGCAGGGAGGATGATCGGCGTGTTGGGGGGGGCAAATACTGGAACCGATCCCCTGTATGGCTCTCTCTGCAACAGCTGAAAGCTGGCTTTTTCTGCTGTATCTCCTTATGGCTTTCAGCTGTTGCAGAGAGAGCCATAAAGGGGATCGGTTCCAGTCAGGGGCGGACTGACAACTCATGGGGCCCCGGGCAAGAGGGGTTCATGGGGCCCCTGTGTCCTTGCCCAAACTCAAAAAAGCGTATGAAATGGTACCAGGGGCATCTCATGGGGCCCCCTACTGACCCCAGGCCCTCAAGCAGTGTGAGTTTCCCAATGGTTAATCCGCCCCTGGTTCCAGTAATTGCTCCCCCCATCACCCTCCCTATGCACCATATGTTTCCCCCTAGTGTCCAGGCACCCGTGTGCCCTCACAGGAGGAAAGGTTCGGCAAATATGTCACATGTACCAGCCCCTTCCTTTCCTGAATTAACAATGATTGTTACCGATCCCTCACTGTGCTCATTCATACCTGAAGCATAGAAAAAATGCATTTTTGGGGGTTTTTTTTTGGATGAGGGGGGCTCTGTGGTTTCTAACAGCAGCCCTGCTGCCATCACTCACACTTCTCACTGGATGCTGAACAAAGGGACCGATTTCATAGCAACCTATCAGCTGGGATGAAGAAAGGTGGGTCATGGGGGATCCAAGGGATTGCCACGTGCGGTTCATTATTCATACTGACCGGAGCGCTCATAGCTCTCCCTGCATGCAGGAACCTACATATTGCACAAAATGGGGGGGGGCACCAAAAATGAGCAAACCAGTTTCTGTATACATTCGTTTGTTAATTTATTGTATTATTGCATATAGTGATTTTCTATATTTATATATAACTGTATTTGTTTTATTTTTACAAAAAAGGAGGTAGACAAGATGGAACACCTGGTCTTTTTCTAAATTTATTATATTATGGTCTATATTGATGGATGGACAGAATGATAGAGATAGATATGAATAGATAGATACAATGCCTTGAAAGAATCTTCATACCCCTTGAAATTTTCCACGTTTTGTCATGTTTCAACCAAAAAACGTAAATGTATTTTATTGGGATTGGATGTGATAGACCGACACAAAGTGGCACAGAATTGTGAAGTGGAATGAAAATGAGAAATGGTTTCCAACATTTGTTACAAATACATATAGAGTATGAAAAGTGTGTCTGCATTTGTATTCAGAGCCCCCCGGAATCAATACTTTGTAGGACCCCTTTTCCCTGCAATTCCAACTGCAAGTCTTTTTGGGGATGTCTCTCCCAGCTTTGCACATCTAGAGAGGGACATTTATGTTCATTCTTCTTTGCAGAATCTCCCAAGCTCTGTCAGATTGGATGGAGAGCATCTGTGATCAGCAATTGTCAGGTCTGGCCACAGATTCTCCATTGGATTTGGGTCTGGCCTGTGACTGGGCCATTCTAACACATGAACATGCTTTGATTTGAACCATTCCATTGTAGCTCTGGCTGGAGTTTCGGGTTATTGTCCTGCTGGAAGGGGAACCTCCGCCCCGGTCTCAAGTCTTTTGCAGATTCTAACAGGTTTTCTTCTAAGAGTGCCCTGTATTTGGCTCCATCCGTCTTCCCATCAAATCTGACCAGCTGCCCTGTCCCTGCTGAAGAAAAACCACATGATGCTGCCACCCAACCATGTTTCACGGTGGGGATGGTGTGTTCAGGGTGATGGGCAAGTTAGTTTTCCGCCACACATAGCGTTTTGCTTTTAGGCCAAAAAGTTCGGGGGGGGCAGTTCTTGAGGAGGGGGTGGAGGTGGGAGAGGGGGTGGGAGTGAGGGGGAGAGATGGAAGGGAGAGAGTAGAGAGGGGGAGTGATGTTTGAGATTGGGGGTGAGAGGAGTGGAGAGAGAGGGGGGGAGAGGGGGTGAAGAGAGAAGCGGGGGGGGGAAGGGGAGAGAGAGGGGGGGCGAAAGGGGGAGAGGAGAGAGGGGGGGGGGAAGGTGGGATTGAGAGAGGGGGGGGGGAAGGGGGAGAGAGAGAGAGGTGGGGGGGTGGGAAGGGGTGAGAGAGAGATGGAGGTGGGGGGGGGAAAGGGGACGAGAGAGAGGAGGGGGGGGGGAGAAAAAAAAAAGGAAAACAGGGCGAGAGACGATGAGGAGGGGGGGGGGCGAGGGGAAGGGGGAGATGAGATGTATGAGGGGGGGGGGGAGATGGGGGGTGAGAGAGGAGATGAGAGAGAAGGGGGAGGGGGAAAGGAAGGGTTAGAGAGATGAGAGAGGGGGGGGGAAGCAGGGGAGATGACGGATCTGAGGGATGTCGGGGGGAAGGGGGAGAGAGAGAGAGGGGGGGTGGAAGGCGGGAGAGATGAGAGAGAGGGGGGGTGATAAGGGGGAGATGAGAGAGAGGGGGGGGAGAGGGGGAGAGAGTAGAGGGGGAGAGGGGAGCGGGAGGGAGTGAGGGAGGGAGAGGGAGAGATGAGGAGAGGGGAGGGGAGAGAGAGGGGAGGGGTGAGGGGGAGAGAGAGGTGAGAGGGGTGTGGGGAGAGGGAGAGAGAGAGAGACGGGGTAGGGCGGAAGAGCGGAGGGAGATGGGCGAGAGGTAGAGTGCGGGTGGAAGAGGGTGCAGCAGAGGGGAGAGTTAGGGAGATAAAAGGGGGAAGAGGGACGAGTCGAGGGGGAGAGACGTGGCCGAGGGAGATCTTGAACTGCGGGGAGCCGCGAGCGGCAGGCGGCCAGGGGGCTGGGCAGGAGGCGCGGCCTGTCAGGGCGCGAGGCCTGGGTGGGACGTCTCGCGACAAGTGCGTGGAGAGGCACGTACCGGAGAGGCTACGCGCTTGTGGCGGAGGGACCGCTGGGCAAGGTAGGTCCGGCTCGCCGGCTCTGATGAGCCCGGTCTGCGACGGCAGCGCGGGGGTGCCGCGCGAGGGCTCGCGCGTGTCGGAGCCGGGCTCGCAGACGTGTTGGGTTTGCCGCCGTGCAGGAAGGCCGGCTGGGGGTGCGGTCCGGGAAGCCTGCGGGGGTGGACGCCGTGGCCGGCACAGTCGCGCGGCGTGGCGGTTGGGCGGAAGTTGTTTTCGGTTGCTGCCGGAGAGAGGCTCGCGGGACTGAGACCTGCACCGAATGACGGGTTTAGTGCACGCCTGACTGTGCTGCCGGCGGACCCGGCCGTCGGCAGGGACGCGGTGACGGAATTGTCGGGCAGAGGGAGGCGGGATGGCCTGGCACCTTGAGAGAGCACGGGAGGGGAAGGAGGCGAAGGAGGGACCCGAAGAGGGTGGCGAGAGGCCGGCTCTGAGTGACTTCAGGCGCGAGAGCAGGACAGGAGTCGAACCAGGAGAGACGAGGAAGAGAGAGGAAGTGAGTCGCTCGGACGGAGTCGGAGAGAGGGCTCAGGACGAGATTGCTCGGCGGTGTCGGAAGGCAGTCTCTACCCTCCCTCCCCGCCCCCCCGCCTCGCCCGGCGCCCCTCGGGAGTCTCCCGAAGAGAGAAAGAGCTGGCGGCAGCAGAGCTCGCTTCGCTCGAGAGAGCTCATCTTGTCGCATGGCGGGCGAGTGGGCCATGGAGTAGAGAGGCTGGAGAGAGATCGAGCGAGGTTGGGTCTTTGACCCTTACCCACACCTACCGCCCAGTCCAGAAACGATACCGCTTAGTCCGGTAACGCGCCATTTGCTTCCTCTGTAATCCTGCATTGATCGAGTGTACGCCTACTTCCAATACAGTGATTCATACTTAGGAGATTGGGCAATAACGCCTACGTATTTAAGGGGTCTGCGGAGAGACCCGTGATAATGAGACCTCAGACAGAGTCCGTGAACCGAGTCCCCAAACTGGGTGTGGCTACCCCACCAGTCTCCAACTCCAAAGTCCTATTCTGCCATTGGGAGATCCTACCCCCCCTGGTTGGGAGGAGAGATGAGAGGTAATTTTCTCGCGCTCTGGTCCTCTGCGGGTCCCCTTGTGTCTGGAGGGGAGGTCTGTTCTGGAGGGGGTGTCCATGAGATGAGAGGGTTGTTTGGGGTGATGCTCGGAGAGTCGCATCGTCGAGACGCTCCTTGGTCTTGATCCGAGCTCGCTCTCTTACTTTCTCTTCCTTTCTCTTCTCTGTTTTCCCGTGTCTTCGAGCTCTCTCGAGCTTCTCTTCGCTCCGCCGACTCTCGCGAGTTCGTCTCTCCCTGAGAGAGCTCGCTGACCTCTCTCTCGCTTCGCTTCGAGTCTCGTTCTCTCTCCTTGAGCTCTCTCTTTCTCTTCTCTTTCCTTCTGTTGCCTTCGCTTCTTCCTTCTCGAGAGAGAGTCCCTCCCCTCGAGAGCCTCCCGTGCTCGCCTCCCCCGCCGCCCCCTCGCCCCCCCGCCGCTGCTCCCTGAAGTGCGCGATCGCCCGGTTCCTCGCTCGCTCGCGTTTCAGCGCTGCCGAGAGTCTCAAAGCGCGCTGAGAGAGATATCGCGCTTGAGTGACTCGAGAAGGGGTCCTTCGCGCTCTTGTGTTTATTCAGTTGCCATTGGTTTGGCCCCCACCCCCCCCAAACCCGTCCGCCCTTTCTGGCCCCTTTATGACAAAAAACACCAATTTGTTTTGTGTGGTGCCTTTAGAGAGCCACCCCCCGAGCACGAGACGAGAAGAGCCTAGCTGTGACAGGTTGCCGTTCTTAACCCACTGCCTCCCCCCCCCCGAGCACGCTCCCCATGAGAGACCATTCCCCCCCCCGCCTACACCCCAACGCCCCCTAGCCCCCCCCAGCCCGCTACGGCGCAGCCCCCCCACGCCCGCAGCCCGGCCCGCCCCCCTCCGCCAGATCCGCAGACTCTCGCCCCCGAGGGACCGAGAGGAGATCAGTCTGACCCCCCACGAGAGAGAGACAGGAGGACGCCCTTCCGCATCCCCGAGTCCCGCCAGAAGGAGAGATGACAAGGAGTGAGTGGGAGATGGGAGTAGAGATCAGCGCTGGGGGCGAAAAAAAATCCCAAATTTAAGTGCAGACGATAGATGGAACACCTGGTATTTTCTAATTGGTAACCATGGCTCGGCCGCGACCGAAGCCGTTGCATAAAACGGCCCAGACGCCTGGCACGTTCTTCAGTCGCAGGGTCAGGTGGCGTTTATAAACGGCGCATGCGAGGCCACTCCTGCTCGTGTGCGCTCCCTCCTGGGGAGCACCAGCAGCACGCAATCCGGTTGCGCCGCTGTGTCCCTCGCGGATACAAGTTGAAACACCGATCGTTGGACGGGACCTCTGATTGGCCAATCAGTGATCACATGCAAAGTAGTAGCAAGATGTCACTTGTGACATCATTGCTTACTACGTGTGAAATCTGTGAATGATCACAGAGGTCACATGGTACAAGGCTAT